ATTCAAACTTAACGAGAAAATATCACAAGAATGAGATATACCATTGTATGTTTTACACATAGTATTTAAAGGACCAGCAGAGTGGATATTCGTTCGATGAGCATCTATATAAAATGTGTTTGTTACACGTGTAGAATATGCTGGTACATTGAAGTTGATTTGTGATAGAAGACAGATGTCATCCACATTGCCATGTATCAGTTTATGAAGAAACAGCATACTGGAGACTGTTCTTCGATTCTCAAGAGAAGACAAGTTGTATTTGAGTAAAAGTGACGCCCTTGAAACATCATTGTTGTAGTGCCCAGTTTCTTTGTAATGTAGAAATCGCAAGAACTTATTTTGAATTCATGAGAAATACTAGTAAAAGTAGTTATAGTGAAGATGAGAGAGAGCTTTGTTCAGATTTTCTAGAAATTGCTAAAAATTATCCAGAAAATATGTATGATAATGTACAGATTCCTGAAGAAGTTGAAACCACTTTCATTTTCAACTATAGTGAAATGAATTCACTATACAACATTGCTGGATATCTCATAAATAGCATCATCAAAACTTCCAAAACCTGCCAAAACTGCATCACATGTGTAGGCAATCGAAACCGTTTAAACATGAAATTCACCAGATTTACAACTATAAAATGTTATAAGGTGAATACTCTGTTTTTTTGTCATGAAAATATTTTTTATTTTTTTATTGAAATGGAGAGTACTTTCAGAAAGTACTATGATATTGTTGTCAATCAAAATATTGACCTAAAAAAATTTTACACTGACAAAATGATCAATTATCAAGTTGATATTCCAGATTGCCACAATTTGAAAAAGAAGATTATTTCTCGATACATAGTCTTCAGATTAAAAATTTCGAGTAAGAAAGAAAAACAATTGCAGAATAAATATGCAAGTCGGTCAATGAGACAATGAGAGCTCACATGAAGTAAGAATGCGTTCAGTAAATTAACTCAACATTCCAGAATAAAAATATGTTTCTGTCCCATTTTCAATGTACTTACAGGAGGATATCTCACTTCTTTTCGTTGTAGTAACTTTCCTAGATCATTGATAATAGAGGAGATAATTTTATGACAATTGAGAACTTGTTCCTAACAAGCTTGATAAGTTTGTCATAAAATTATGAGGCATTTGTCAATGTCCGAGGGATATTCGGCGGAAATTTTTTTCGAAGTTGCCTTTATCATAATGTTTGGTTTAATTGGTTGTGTTCAATCATATATGACCACAAATTAATTGATTTCTTTGGATTTCTACTTGAGCAAAATATTGTCAAAGATAGAGATTTGCAGTTTTCGCGAACGTTGGCTCCTCTTTTTTGAAAGTCTCAGTAATCAAAACAAAATTTTCATTGACTGCTTTATTTTTTAGATACAGTGCAAAATTACATGTTACAATTTGAGACCTCCCTTGTATTTCAGCTATATTTCAACTTATAGGAAAAGTAAAAATGTTATCTTAATCAGAAGTGTTGAATATTTTTGAAGAGTGCAAAGTGTCAATGTATTGAATATAAAAAATATACAGGGTATTCCATTATAAAAAACATAACTGGGTTATATCTTCATAATAACCTGGCTACGCCACTGGATTCTACTTGAAAAAAAAATGTTAAGAGTCAGTTTTTACTTTTCCAATAAGTTGAAATATAGCTGTTACACAGGGGGAGTTCCAAGATGCAAAAACAAAGCAGGCTATGAAAATTTTGTTTATGGTAAGTACAGTGAGTTCCACAAAAAAATTGCCAATGCTAGCAAAAAAAGGAAATCTTCATCTTTGGAAATAAGATATCCCCATGATATCCCATAAGGGCATTGAAAATGGGACAGCCTGGACATGTAGGTATTTCAGCAATCAATCAGCTTGTCATCCAAAGCAACAACATCAATTATTTCTGTCTGGGTCCTATTTACTTCCATCTTCTGGCATGTGGGTGCACAGCTCTCATCCTCAAGGGTGCATCTGACCTGTTTCCTCAATTTCTCCAAATGTATCTACCATAAGTTATCTTGATTGTTGGCTTGTTATCCCTTTCTTTCCCTGCCTCTTCTTCTAGCTGCTGCTTCAAGGCACTGCCTTCAGACTTCATCTTCCAATGAATGTTGTCACTTAACTACCTGTTCCTACAAAACAGAACTCCAAAATATATTTCATGCACTTCAGGGATTTGAAAATCCCTATTTTCGGGGAAATAGTGGTACTTTAAAACCCTAGGGATTTGAAATGTACTTTAAATACCTAGGGATTTAAAGTAAGGAATATGATATGGATGCAACAAAAGTTTAACATGTTTAGAACAATATAAAACTATAAAAAACGACTCAATTTCTACAAATAGTAACATTCATCGAAATAAAAACGAGCAGATCGGAGTTGGTCGACCAGCTTGTTTTTCTTTTGAAATTAAATTGGACCACTTTGAGATATGGATGATTTTCATGATTTATCAACATTTATGTTCACCCCAATGCAATCAGCCAAGTGAAAAGGGGTAAATTATCATTATTGCAGCTGTTATTTTTATTACCCAAAGTGTTTTGGAAAATTGTAGCCCTTGAAATAGTATACAAACCTCAGGACTAAAGTACTTTTGAATCCCTGGACAAATTATAGCCCTCCCGTTGGTCCGGCGATAAACTTTTTGTCTTGGGATTTAAAATACCACTTCAGTCCCTAGGTGTATGATATACTATTATTCCTATCAGTAATAGGTAAAACCTTCTGTTAATAAAGGGCTATTGACATGAATATTTTCAGCATAAGCAACATCACTAGTGTCTGCATTCAATTGATATGAACTAAATCAAGGATTATGTATTATGTAGATCAACAAAGTCTATTATTAAGCTATTAATAACCTTCCAACATTATATATTCTCTTAATATTACATCTTGAAGCTGTGGTAGAGAATATTTACCTCTCAAACCAAACTGGCCTAAAAAAAATTATTTGATTTAAGGAAAGTAGTTGTTTTCTGTTGAATATAAATACCTAATATTTAATTCAAGTTTCACAGTTCATATTTTGATAGGTAGTAGTTACTTGAACCTATTCAAGACAACTTATAACAGCTAGGTAAGTAGGTAGTCATTTTCTGTTGAATATTCCAAATGACAAAATAGAAACTTGAATATAAATATTTTTATCTGAAAGAGAATGAAAATCTCTCAGAAGATTTTTGATTTTAAATCATCTTTGTGTGTTCAATGGATTCAATTCAATGTTCGTTAAGGCATATAGCCAGTAAAGTAGTAGTTCTCTGTGGAGTATACTGAAGAAGTATCAATACCTTCATCAGATAGAGAATGTGAATTCTCAATGTATTTCTTGATATTTTTCCATTTTTTTCATGTTTATTTCTCTTCAAAATTATATATTATTGTAAATGTTAATAATAGTTTGTGAGATTGCAGATGTGTATGTTCATGGCTATTAAAGTTATTGCTTCAGTATTTCTGTTTATCATTTGAAACTGACCTTATATGGGCAAGTAATTTCTTGATCACTTCATCATTTGAGATATGGGATATCCTAGGTTATCATTTCATCAATGTACTTATTTAAGTTGTGTTCTTCTGGGACATATTTATAAGATGGATTCATCAAACATCACTTTTTCATCTTTCATCTTCTCATTTGAACTGGTTCTCAAGTGATAGGGAGATGCTTTGAGTAGGTACCTGAAATGTTGCATGTGGATTCGTTGGTGTATAATTGGGGATATTTAAGCAGGATAATTAACCCTGGATATTTCAATAGAATCATAAATTCCTGGTGATACTAGGTATACTTTGATGCTGCTTACCTTGCATAGCTTTGCTTTCATCTCCATTTTCTTTCAAGAACATCGTGATATTCGTGATTTGTACTATTTTAGAGAATCTTTTTGGCCCAGCCATTATTACATATAATATTTACAATAGACATAGATTCATAGATTGAGCCAATGAAACTCTGATAAAAACCCAAACGAAAATTGGAAATTGAAACACGTGTATTGTGTAGTTTGTTTATGTTTCATTTGACTTTGACGTTAATTGACATCTACGTCAATGACCGGAAATGGCAGCCATTTGCATGGCCATTGTCGTCACTCTATTTATATAGTCACTCTAACCCACAGAACCCCAAGCCTCAAGCTCACAGTACAGTGTTGCCAGTTGCCACAGACAAACACAGACATAATTATGTTTTTTCGAGCGAGTCCGAGCTATACTGTAAAAAACTAGCGAGATCTTGACTCAAAGACAATGAACTCAATACAACTCAAAGAGCAAGATTTTGTTGTTGATAAAATAAATAAATTGATTACACATTACTATGAAGCTCTCTATGAAGGTACATGAATAAATATTAAAATGACAATTTTATTCATGTATGAAAAATCCCACAAGACGCGTGATTTTGTCATTATGACAGCGAACTTTTCCAGTGACAATAACGGAACCACGAGTCTGTAAGTAATATGAGTTCTGTGATTCACTCTCGTGCCACCGTGACTGACAAAACGAGCGAGAATTCGCTCAATCGAGCGAGCTGCGGCAACGCTGCAAGCTCACATTCTCATCACAGGAAAAGTGATGAAAAGTCAGAAATGTCAGATAAGCATAAAGAAAAGCAGAAAACACAAAACACAAAACTAACAAATTTGTGAACATAACCACGAATCACTCTAAAAATGATTTCAAAATAAAAAAACAACAAAAGGAAGAGGGAAATAAAAGAATTGTTTGAGGCCCCTGGGCTCCTGGGCACCTGCGGCACCATCGCCTCAAATAGTCAAAGATCTATAATCAAAAACTTTCGAAGTTGATATCAATCCAAGGTGAGGATTTTATTTTAATTTTAGATCAAGCAAAATTTGAACATTATAGATTTTCGCAATTTCATGGTCAACTTTTGCAAAGAGGGAAGGTCGTATCCCTTCCATCACTTCTAGGAAAACCGTCTATTTATTTAAAGATTGGAATTATCGTCGATGATTCAGTGATAATTTTGAATTTGAAGGTGACCAAGCTAAAATATCTATCATGAAATTCAAAAATGTTACTCATGTTATATTTGATATGGACGGACTTCTAATAGGTAAGGGAACATCATAATAATATGGAAGATTTTAAGTATAAATTAATAAAATTCATAAATCCTCCATTTATTTTCTAGAATCAGAATCAATTTATGATAAAATCATCAATGATATAGTAGTAAAGTATGGCAAAGAATACACTGAAGATTGCAGAATCAAAGTGCTAGGGACCCCAGAGCAAGATACTGCAAAAATTGTGGTTAAAGAACTTGATTTGCCAATCACTCCAGATGAATTTCTGGTAATTTACAAAGAAATGCAGAAAACTGAACTCCAAAATCCAGTATTATTACCAGGGGCAAAAGAACTAGTAAAATTTCTGTACAAACATGACATACCTATAGCTGTGGCTACATCCTCCTCACAAGAGTCCATGGAACTTAAGTCCAAACCACACCAAGAAGTGTTCAAATTGTTCCACCACATTGTATGTGGTAGTTCAGATCCAGAAGTTGAGAATGGAAAACCTGCACCTGATATATTTTTGATTTGTGCATCCAGATTTCCTGATAAACCTGATCCTTCTTCAGTAAGCATACTTGAAATTTCACAATATGAAATATTGACCCACTAGGTATATTATTATATCCATAATATAAAATAATTTTTTCAGTGCCTAGTATTTGAAGATGCTCCAAATGGTATAAAGGGAGCCATAAGTGCAGGTATGCAGGCAGTGATGATACCAGCACCATATATACCTCAGAATTTGAGGAAATCTGCTACCATAGTCCTTAATTCTCTCAGTGAGTTCAATCCAGAACTCTTTGGTTTACCTCCATGGGAGTAAAGAAGGGATCATTTTATATTACCTAGATGAATTCATTTGTTTGTCAATTAGATGAAACTGCATGACTGTACTATACAGAAGAAAAGTAATATGAAAAATATTCAAAGTGTTATTGTTTTCATCATGTTTGCAGGTACAGTCAAAATTTAGCATCAGTGATATTAGTCCTAACTGCATAGCTAATTTATTTCTATTTATAAGGTTACATAATATACCTATAGGTATTGATGTACCTATATCTCATAATGTATCTAACATATTATGGAGCTTTATGTGTTTCAAACATTTTTGAATTGATATTGTATTTTTATGCCTTATTTTAGGATATAATATTGAATTTCTAGTCATTTTTGTTCAAAAAAAAATTATCATTTCCTTATCTGTATTATCTGACATTGAACTTTAAATACTAGGACAAATATAGATCCCTCTAACTCTATGGCTTCTACTAATAATAGGTATGAAAAGTGTTGCCTAGCAACCAATACACTTGTAATGCTAGGATTAAAATGATGAAATATGTCATCAATTCATTTTTTAAAAACAGTTTTCTGGGCACAAAAATGCTATGTTATATCACATTGGAAGTTTTCCATTTGTTTGTGTTTACCACTTTTTATCCAAATAGATAATTTCAACAAGTATTATTTCAGTATTGAAACTATGAAGAAAGAAATGGTTGCAGATTTCAAATTTTGAAATGTCATGTGATATTGATATTGCAAAACAAAAAGTACCTATACATTAAATGTTATATAAAAAATTAAATATATATTATTTCAAACAAAACCTCTTGAATAACCAATGGAGTGTTTTCAATTTGTATATATTGTTAACAAACATTTATAAGTACCTACATTACCTATAAGCAGATAGTAATGGATTTAATAATATGTGTATAATCACCTGTTTGAAGATATTACACACTCAATAACTATTTTATTCTAATTATTATGGAGTGTATATATCATGTGCCCAAGATAAGGATGACTATCATATATGGGGATCTCGGAATCCATATAAGAGCTAGATACCAGGAAGATGGTTGAATTAGAGAAAAGTTGCCTAACAATATGCCGTTTAGAAGTTTTGAAAACTCCAATCTGAAATATATTCGTTTCTGAGATGGAGTGTCAAAGTTGAATTCTTATTTTTGTTTTTTGTCAATAAATTTCAAAATAATTGTGATATTGGAATAAAATTTGGTATCTATAGGGGTATTTTTCAATGGCAATATCAGAGATTTCAGTTTAGGTAGTGTAGTGCTCAAATCTTTCCCATAAAAAATCAAAATATCCAAATAATGAGTGATGACAAAAGATGTGCATGCAGTTGTATTTTCATATAGCCGCCCTGAAGATTTTGCCGCCTGATGGTGCTATATAGTACCCAAAAGACCCCTGGTAAAACCGGCACTGATAATAATTTGTCCCAAATACGGACACGTCCTCTTGTTTTCAATTTATCTCCCAAAGATTGAAAAATTTGGAGACCTAGATATACCTATATAGTTGATTATTGGATTATAATAATGGTAAAGTACCATTTGGGGACATGAATATATTTTTTTCAATTTTATACCTCCTCATCATTGAAACCTCTACACCTGTTCAAGTCGTAAATCAGCAATAACGGTAATGTGAAATTCAGGAAGTGTGAATTGAAATTCAGAGAGGTGAATTGAATTTCAGAATGCGGTAATTGAAAATAAGAAAGGTAAATTATTGAATTTTAGAATGTATATAAATTATTAAATTGAAATTAAGAATGGTGAATTGAATTTCAGAATGCGTTAATTGAAAATCAGAAAAGTAAATTGAAATTCAGAATTGTGAATTGAATTTCAGAATGCGCGTTAATTAAATTTGAGAAAGTGTGAATTTATCAATACTTGATCGAAACTGCTGCTGAATGTGTATCTATATTAATCTGATATATATATATATACTCTAAACTCTTTTTCAACAACAATTTGATGCTTTTGTTATTCTTTCGCCGGTGTTTCTCAAAATCTGTTATTCTATTTCTTTTTCTAAATTTCATGTTTATTTTCGGAGGTATTGGCATTTGTAATCTGTTCAAATATTATAATAGGTCGGTTCATTTGTGTTGATAATGAAGTTTACTTTTTTTTATTGTTTCCTCTGTTCATCGCAAATCCTTCTGAGAAAGTCATGAAATCAAAACAGTAAGTAAAATAAGTTCAGCAAGTTTAGTGAACGCAAACAATAATTGAAAGAGCCTTCATATACAGGGTGTTTCGAAATTCGACCGACAACGCTTCACAGGTGGTAGCTCTCGTGATTTAATAAATAATGAGGCAGGAACATAAGGCTCTGACGTGCTTAGTTATCGAGATACAAGGTGTTAAAGTTGAGAAATAAAAATAGTTTTTTCGCAATATCTCAAAAACGGCTGATTTTTTTTCATTAAAATTCGATGAGCAAATTAAAATTGAGAATCTCCATTTCCAGACGTCGAATTCATATTTGACAATTGATCCAGTGGCGCCATTAAGGGGGTATGATTGCATGATTTTCCAAAAAAACATGTGTTGCGATATGAATTTTGAAAATTTTATATGATTATATCAAAGACCATTCAATTTTGAATTAAAAATGCATACTTGATGGATCTCGATAGAACCCACCATTTTCGAGAAAAAACGAAAAATGTATATAAATAGTATTCCAATCACTTCATTCCCAATCGATCAATCAGATAAAGAAAATTCACCCAAAAAACCACAACAATATTGGAAAAACAATAAATAAGTATTTCGGAAACTAAGTAGACATCCTTAGTAGTCCTCAGTCCCACAGGTTATTTTCGGAGAATATCTCAGTCAGCGAACTATTTTTTACTTTTCAGGACTTCTGAGAATGGCAATTCAGTTGCCGAAATACGTATCAAGAGTTTTTTCAATACTGTTGTGGTTTTTTGGGTGAATTTTTCTCATTTGATTGATCGATTTGAAATGAAGTAATTGGAAGACTATTTACATTTTTCGTTTTTTCTCGGAAATGGTGGGTTCTATCGAGATCCATCAAGTATGCATTTTCAATTCAAAATTGAATGGTCTTTGATATAATCATATAAAATTTTCAAAATTCATATCGCAACACATGTTTTTTTGGAAAATCATGCAATCATACCCCCTTAATGGCGCCACTGGAAGAATTGTCAAATATGAATCCGACGTCTAGAAATTAAGATTCTGAAGTTTGATTCGCTCATCGAATTTGAATGCAAAAAAATCAGCTGTTTTTGAGATATTGGGGAAAAACTATTTTTATTTCTCAGTTTCAACACCCTGTATCTCGATAACTAAGCACGTTAGACCTTTATGTTCCTACCTCAATATTCATCAAATCACGAGAGATACCATCTGTGAAGTGTTGTCGGTCGAATTTCGAAACACCCTGTATATGCCGACGTCATCGCTTCATATACACTGTGTCCATAAAGTCACCCCCCCCCCCCCTGGTTAACTATTGAACGGATGGGATTTTTTTTTTCAATTTTTGTTTGCTTCAACGGTAGTTTCAGTGCTATACATTGTTCAAAAAAAAAATATATTATCCTCCAAAATGGCGCCTGGGCGCCATTTTGGAAGATTTTTTTAAATGGAGTGGGGGGTCGAAAGATACCTCGATTGAAAGGTCTTTCGATTCTCTATACAACCTCAGAATCTCAGACAAAAATATTCATCCAAAACAAAATGGCGGATGATAACGTTTGAAATCTCACACCAGAATTCTTTCGACTGGATGGCTATTAAAGTGCTCGCATGTGATCTTCAAATCTTTATTGGCGTATAGAAGAGTTCTCTATCTATGAAGATATCAATAGAAAGCCATTTTGAAGAGAATAGCATGGTAGTCACGTGGAATAAACATTGTTCATTATTTTGAATAAATATTTCTAAAATTTTGCAGAATTTGGAAAGACAATCGAGCAAAGGTATAATTGACTACCATGTTATTCTCTTCAAAATGGCTTCCTATTGATATCTTCATGGATAGAGAACTATTCTTTACGCCAATAGAGATTTGAAGATCACATGCGAGCACTTCAATAGCCATCTAGTCGAAAGAATTCTGGTGTGAGATTTCAAACGTTATCATCCGCCATTTTGTTTTGGATGAATATTTTCGTCTGAGATTCTGAGGTTGTATAGAGAAGCGAAAGACCTTTCAATCGAGGTATCTTTCGACCCCCCACTCCCTTTGAAAACATCTTCCAAAATGGCGCCCAGGCGCCATTTTGGCGGATACACATTTTTTTTTTGGAACAATATATAGCACTGAAACTACCATTGAAGCAAAAAAAAAATTGAAAAAAAAATCCCATCCGTTCAATAGTTAACCAGGGGGGGGGTGACTTTATGGACACAGTGTATATGCCGACGTCATCGGAAATAAGGAATTTCAAGAATTCAAGATGGCATTTATGCCGTAACCCTGTCCCTATAGACATACCGATAACCCTGGTTCATATGAACTTTTTCTTTAGATTGGAACCTCCCAAATAATCAGCCCATAAGTTTGGCCACATACTTAAATACACCCTGTATACTGATCATCACTACCAACCTTGATAGATCTCTCTTCGGCTCAGAACCACTGAACTATACCCTACAAAGAGTGGAATGCTGATGCGGCCACCTGCGCGTGAAAATTTTACGCCTCCCAGGAGATCTTGACCTTAAGGTTCTGCGTCGGCGCAGTAGAACCAAGATATGAAAAGAATGTCCGTGATTATTGAAATTGCTTACAACCGCAGACGTATGTCGTTGATTAGGTGTGATCCCATCAGGAGAGGCTTGAATATTTTTGTGCCCATCATCTGCCACACCTTTATTATTGTTTGTTTGTTTGTTTCGTTAGTTTCGTTTATATTTTTGAGTTGTGATCGTGATTTTGGTGACTTATCATTTTGAAGACTATTATTAGACAATATGGTCCAGGGATGCATGGTGTTCTTGTGCCGAAATCGGAAAAGAAAACAAGGTTTATCCTATTTCAAGTAAGTTATCAAACAAACTCCAATGTACTAGTATAATAGATGTGAATTCATACCAGTATACAGCTGATAATAAGAACAACAATTTTTCAGAACTACAATTAGGAATTAACAATCAACAATTAATAATCATAAGGGTGTTTATACATATCTGAAATAATTTGGGATTAAAAATCAAAATGATGTTAACAAGTGATTTTGGTCCCCACAATTCATGAATCCATAAGAAAAAATATCACACCAAACTCCACTTGAACAATAATATGAATCCAATCTTCATGTTATGTCTCCAGAATCTCCTAATTCTCAGTTGTTGAGTTGAAAGTTGGCCAACTTTGTAATTCTTAATATAACTGACCTGAGTTCACAGTTGTTAGTTTAATTCTCAGTTCAGTTGAATCTATAAATCCAGCTTTACCTTAGTATATATGAATATAGATAGGTTTTAGAAAAACATTATATTTTTTGTGTTTTCAGCTTGACTCAAAAGAGATATTCCTCATGGATGCAGGCACTGGGTAGAGATCCTAAAGTTGAGAAACTTAGCCAGGCCAACTGTATATGTGAAGAACATTTCTCCAATGAAGATTTCACATATTACAATAACAAAAAGAGCTTGAAACCTAATACGATTCCTACATTGAATTTGGGTCCTTGAAAGCCCTTGTCAGCTTTGCCTAATCTGTCACTGAGGTAAGAATGATAGTAGTTTATATACAATGAAAATGGAT